ATAAATACTGTGGATGCCCTAACCTTGGATTTCATTGTTTAGTGGAAAATGGCAAAGTGAATATTTTAAGTTACCATTAAATTTACCAATTCTTTCTGCATGCCTAATTTAAATTATTATATTTTTAAGTTATATATATATGCATTATTTATTTATAAAGCCATTTCCCCTTTTGCCGATTTTTCTGCTAGTTATCTCGAATCATATAATTTGTATTTTTGCTTCTTGTCGATGCAATTTCACACAACATTTTCATTTAGTTGGCCATTTGCTGGTCAGCAGGTGTTAGTCTTTTGGTTAGCTATAGTTTAGATTCGCGTTACTTTTTTGTTTGGCTTGGCCTGGCCGAAATGTGGCTTACTTTTACCTAGTGCGCTTAGCCACTCAATCAATTCCCACTCACAAAAGTGAAAAGTCAAAACGCGACGTGGTTTTTGCTTTTGTTGGTTATGCGCATGCGCGCATGTAACAGCTGCAGGTAAGCTGACCAAGCAATTACCTAGTAACTCATATTTACCGTTGGACATTTAGTACATGCATTAACTTGGCCAAAAGTAGTTGAAGTGCTCCTGCTGCCGCGGCCAAAGCAAAAGCTATAGCTATTTCTGGTGTACATTTGCGACATCGGCCAAACAAAATAAAACAAAGCAATATAAAAAAAGTTTGGTACAGAGAAAAAAAAATTATTTATTAGTTATCTGAGTAATCTTGGCTGTTGCAGGGGTACCGATTAGGTGCTTCTTAAAACTAATTTAATATATTCTATAAAATGTTATATTTAATTTGTAATATATAGCATAAGAACATAAATAATATTTAAGATTAAAATACTTATTTACTTTATAAAGTAAATATAAAATATTTTATGGTATATTATTACTTATATATTTTCTATTCTTTATTATTAATATGATTAGGTGCTAAAACTAATTTAATATGTTCTTAAAAATGTTATATTTAACTTGTAATATATACCACAAAAACATTGATAATATTTAACATTAAAATATTTATTTATTTTTTAAAGTAAATATAAAATATTTCGTTGTTTATGGTAATATTCTTACCTATCTATTTTCTAAATATTTTTTAATGAAAAAAATACATTTCATATTTTTTGGTAATATTAAGCATTATAATATTAATAATAATTTTTTTCCGTGTACCCCAAGCCATCGTTTGGCAAACATACACCAACAATGGCTGGCAATCAGCAGCAAACTTTGACTTTTGTCTCATTGTTTCATATTTATTAGAGTCCCGGCTGGAACCTTACAACTCAACAGGCCAGCGACGCGTGCATCTTTCCAAAATTGCTGTGGGAATTGGCTTTGGCTTCAGTTTTTGGCTACCGCAGCCGGCGATGTTGCTCTTTTAATGGTTATCCTTTTATGCGGCTTAGGCTTACGCAACCGAAAATGGCCAGCGATTGTGGCTGCTGTAATTGAAAATTACACTCGAGGAGCTGCACAGCACCAGGGCATCCCAACGCATTCAATTACCAGCAATTTATATTAATTTATTTGCAGGCATGGCGAATAAAACACGATTTAGCTGGGGACTGGCCAACTCGATTCCGCAGAGAAATGTGCGTGGTCAAACAGAAAATGAGAGAGAAATATATACGGCTAATTGCCAGCGAACATTGAACTTAAAAGTGCAACCGCAAACGGACCGCAAGTTGATGCCGTTTTCTTCATATTGATCGTTAGTATCAGTCACACACTGCGTATGAGCAATAAAATGTTATAAGTAGCCTTTCGAACCAGCTAAACCGTAGGAAGCATCGTCAACTGTCCAGTGAAATTATTAGGTGTAAAATGCATTGGTCATACATTGTCTTTGGTAAATATTTATAAGCTGGTTGAAATTATGGACACTAGATTTGATTAATCTATTGGGTAAATAGAAACGGGAAACAGACTTACCTCTCTTAAAAGAAAAAAGGAAGTTTTTAACTTATTAGTATGTCTACATTATTGGAATTTATTATTTTGGAGTCAATACAAATACAAATATTTTACATTTTAATTTTTTAAGTGATTTCAGAATTTTATTAACCAATATTCCTGTATTTTATTATAATTATAAGATTACTTTGTAACTTTTTTCAAATGTTCCTAACTAAAAATAAACTTTAAACTGCCAAACTGTTTTCTTAGTTCATTTTTTAGGCACTTAAGAGCATAGAAATTAAGGTAAATATCATATATGATTTTAAAATAGATCCTTTTTTTGGTTTATTTTTTTTTCGAATTTTTTTATGATCTTCAGGGGGCTTGACTTAATCCTGTCAGCTTCGATCTGGCATTCTTCATTACTCAATCGCATCCAGCCGTCATCACCGCCGTCAGCTTTGATTATGCACTCCGTGATATAACTGCCGCCGAGGCATAATAATCTGAAAAGCCTTTCAACGGTAACAAATAATATTCACCTGAATTCGGTGCGGTAACAGCAATTGCAGCCGCCCCTTCTGCTTTTCCAGCCCCTCGACTTCTGCCGCGGGTCTTGAGCTTCGGCTGCTGGCGTTGACATAATAAATAGCTGAAGAAATTAATTAAATGCAAATTGCCAAATCACATAATCATATCATATGGCAGCTGGGACAGTCGAGCGACACTCATTTTCGTTTTCATTTCTTATTTTCCAAGACCGTTTGTGTGTGTAGCAAGATGCGGAAAAGTCGAGAGTGCCAAGTCTTGTTGGCGCCTTGGCAATTTTCCAATTGATTTTCTTTCAGCTCTAATTGTATCATTGACTAATCAAAATATTTACGCTTTGCATTCACAGGCCCGCGGTAATTGTTAAATATTTTAATTTAACTGCAAAAGTGCCACTGCCATTTTCACACATCGCATGGGGTTGAGGAAATCGGGCGGCGGCACAAGTTTTCCCATGACGACTTCCTTGGACTTTCTCAGCCAGTGTGGCTCATTAATTAGGCGCCAATTGAATGTGTGTGGCTCCCTCTCTGTTGCTCCACCATTTCCTCCTACCCAGTGAAAAGCGCTTTTCCCCAAAAGGGGATGAGAGGGGAAATGCAGCCGCAAAGTAGGTTAAATACTTTTACCTTATTCCGTAGCCGGCTAATTGCTGTCATTTTTGGTGCAACTTTGTTTTTCCTGCTGCAAAGATGCAACAAATTAACAACTTTTCAAGCTCGCCCGAACCGGATATTATGAAATTTACCAGTTTCGAGTGCCATATCGAGATTATAAAATGGTTAAATTTATGCAACCGCCTGGGGGCCTGGAAGGCAGGACCAAAAACCGGCTGCAGATCCCCTAATCAAGTTGTCAGCTCGGACATATATTTCCATGCCCCGATGTATATATCGTTTTATTAGTTTATTTATGAGCCTGGCACTGCAGGGACAACGCCCGCGATCTCAATGTTAAGTTGAAGTGCAATTGCCACTTGTATGGGGCCCACTGTGCGGCTACGTAATGAAGAAAGTACGTATACGTTAGTCACGCCCTAGCCGAAAAATGAGGGGAAAATCATAAACACTTTCACAGAGCCTCTCGATGGGGCGGTGGTGGTGCAAGCCGATTGCCTCAGCAATTAGTTAATGACCGAATATGTATGCCAAAAAGAAAGAAACCGAAAGCAATGAATTGGAATGGAAAGGCTAGCAGTTGAATTAGCATACAATAAAACAGACGAGTGCATATGAAAGTAACCGGAGTTGGGCTAATTAACTAGGATACAAGCTTATTAATGAGCTAATAAATATGTTTTACATAATCAAGCATTGCCACCAAACCGTCAGAACATTCCCATTTCCTACTACATTAGGCCTTTCCCCCATCGAAAGAGATTTTATTTCCAGCCATTTCAGTCAAGCATAAAAGTGAATGTACCAGATACAAATTCGTGAGTAATAAATGCACACAGTAAATAAAAATCAGACCATACAAATGTAAAATGCAACAAAATAACAAATACACTTCAAAGTGTTTGGAGTGCTTTTTGGCAGCTTAATTTCGCAATCTACGAGGAGTGTGCGTGCCACAAATTAAAGTTGCCGCAATAATGGAATAATAAATCAGCATAAATATGCATCGATGGGGAGAAAGAGCGATGGAAATGGCGTGGAAAGCGAAAACGATAACAGAAATCAAAATGCAATTCGCATTTCCTTCCGTTTTTTTCCAGTTTACCTGAGCTTGGCACTCGCCATGGAAACGCATTTGGAAATTTGGAGCAATTAAATGGCAAAACATTTACACTTGACTGCAACGTGATCCCATCGATGTCTTCCTGAATGGCGGGAATATCCAACTGAAACCCAAAACCGACCTGCTGTGGGCGACACAAATTAACCTATATGAAGGGGGAATAAATAAAAATAAAAACATAAACTTCAAAGGCGGCTTGCGAGTTAGATTGGGATCAAGACTGCTCCACTTTGGCACCCGGAACATATTTTTCAAAAATGCCACAAATACCCGGCGCCTCTTATTGCAGTCTCAATTATGCCGTTCAGTGTGTGGAATTCTTTTGTTGCTCTTTTTGCCTTTATGGCCAAATTGTGATCACTTTTTTATGGCCAAGGTATCGGTGAAAGAGGTGGCGCGAATGAAAAGTGAAAGAAGCTTACCTAATAACTAGCGCAGGGCTTGCTCTTGTCTTAACTAATATTGCCAACGAGCACTGAGATAAAATAAATTAACAATCCTATAGCATATGTAATAAGACAATTAAATATTGGCCTAAATTCAATGCCCATTCAAATTGTAAGTTTTCCTTATATATACCATTAAATAATATGTGTTAGCATAATAAACATAAACAGTTAAATTTGATTCATAACTTTAAGCATTTTTATATATTTATCTTAATAGGCAATATCATTAAAGAAAGTAATTTTGATTATTTATTTTCAGTAACTATCTCTTACCTTAAAAAAAAAATTTTTAATTGAACCCATAAAAATATACGATTATTTTTAGACATGACAGGCTCAATCTTTTCCTACCTTTTATTTAATTTTTAATTTTAAATGTAAACATATTTTTTTCTGTGTACTTTCGTGTAACAGTCCTCCCTCTTTAATATTTATTGTTGAAAACTCTTAAGCATTTACTTTGGTCTGGTGAAACATTTACTCTCGCCTGGCCTCACTTAGATTGGGTAAATTGGGCAGGAATTCACGGCGATTTGCCTCAATGGCTCGCTGTTGCCAATTTGCATCGCTTGGACTCCTATTGACCAGTGGCCTGGGCGGTGGTAAATCCGCCTCCGTCTCCTCGACTTGAGGAGCCTTCTCGGCATTGTTGGTTTTGGCCCTGTTGTATTTTGAACTTTCGGTTTTCTTGGGTTCTGCAGTGCTGGTGGCCTTGGTGGTTTCTTGATCCGCAGGCAGTTGAAAGGGAACTATGGGAAATTGCTGGGGGATTAGATTCTGAACTGGCTGACCCTTGGCTGGGGCCTTGCCCCGGATCACATCGAGCACCGCTGGTTTCAGCACATCCTTGGTCACATCGATGTGGTTGAGGTCGAGACCATGCTGCTCCTTCAGCTGCTGGGCCACTTGATCGGCCACATTGGACACGCTCACATTGAGGTGACTCTTGGGATCCCAGGTGACATTGGTGGGTGAATCCGTTTTGCTTCTCTCCACAAGAATATCGGGTCTTTCGGTGGGCCAAACAGATCTCACCCTATCATCTCCTGCTTTGAAAGTCTGAATCTTGGCAGAGTAACCACCATCCTCATCCGCTTGATATTTGGTCACCTCTATGCGTCCATCGGGTCTGGCATATCCATAGCTTCCCCGAATGCTGCCATTCGCAAAGCGTTTTTCCTCGCGGAACTGGGAGTTTTTGGTCTGCGGGTCATCAACCTTATAGCCAAAGGCATAAGTGTTGGGACCTATTAAAAAAATTAAACATTAACTAATATACTTTATAATTAATCTTATATAGTCTCTTTTATATTGCCTACCATAGGGCTCGTGCAGAAAATAATTGCTCACTTTGGCTCTGCTACTTTCATTTTTTTCCGCAGTCTTGTTATATACTTCGATTTTTGCTGGTGATGGACTGGCCAATGTGGCGTATACTTTTGTGATTAAAACAATAATCTGGTAATGAAAGAAAACGTTTAGCATATATTAAGGCGTTAGGACTGTCGAGGAAAAAGTTAAGAGCTTGTTGAGCTTAATGTGAACAAGTTACAAATAAATTTCAGCTTTTTAAAATTTGATACGGTCATTAAAAGAAATGTGACAGAAAGTAGGTAAAATAAAGTAAATGACTTCCTGTTTGTATAAAATTTTTGGTTATGACTTTAAACATGTTTAAAATATATAAACAAACATATTTGTTCTCATAATTTATGTAATCTTTATATAATCTTAAATAAAACCAATTCAAAGAATTTTTAGGGCTGTTTACTCGTCATCATATAAATCTGTCAGTAGGTTTTAGCAATACATTTCCATACATTTTCGTTTATCTACAAGGCAAGGTATGTTTCTATCTGTTTTTTTTTTCATTAATTATTTTTTTTTTTCAATAAATCTAGTATGTTTTAAAGTTTCTTAATACAAATTAATTAAATACATTTTTTTTAAATTTATTTTTGATTTGACCGTCTTGGGGACAACAAATATGTTACGGTTAGAACCCACTTATTTCACTAAAACTTTCAGTACATACAATCTTTTTTTTAACGAAAGTTACAAATTCCTGAGTATTGAACTAATGCGTGCACAATTTATTTGCGAGCTGCTTGTTCCTACGCACTTACAAAGAACCAAAACAAATTTGACGAACATCCCATGCTGAATTTTAATGATTTTTGCCAATAGATCAATCACATTTATTACGATTTCAATATTTTTGACCGGTGAGTTCCGCGAACTTTCGATGGCGAAGACAGACTGAAGAACCGAGAACTTAAAACGAAATGGAGAGGCCTCTAGGTGGGTGCGAAACCCCATTGGGAATACTTTGTCGGAATGCTAAGTAATTTTTTCAGTTTTTTTTACTTGGCATATTATAAAAGTAATAATTATTGCCCCTTCATGCTAATCTCGGCGACCTTCGCTGAAATTTTTAAACCAACCCAAGAAAGAAGAGTACATTTCAAAGTTTTTTTTTTAAATATGATTTTTTATTTATTTTTTTTTGTAGTTTTTTTTTCTATTTCCATAATAACGTTTTCGCATTTCGTTTGCTGTTTGCTGCTGTTGTTGTTCTTGTTGTTTTTGCATACAAATGTTTATGGGGAATATATAGTACATAAGTGTAAGACTCAAATTGAACTTTTGAGACGTGAGAGACATGTGAGAGTTTTTTGTTTTATTTTTCGTTTAACCTCCTAATTGAGTACAATGTTTTATTTTTTTGTTGCTTTTTTTCGTACGTTTTTTTCATCGTTTGTTGTTTATAATTAAGCTGCATAATTGTTTATAAATACACAATAAATGTGAAAAATACTAAATGCAAAAAATGAAACTAGATACAAAGGTGTCAGACTGAGAGAGTGAGTGAGTGAGAGATATATAAAGTGAGAGAGCGCGAGAGAGATAGTGAGTCGGTGAGTGAGTGAGACGGGTGAGAGTGGAAGAAAGAGGCGGAAAGAGGTCACGAGGATAACAGCGGGGATCTCTAGAATACCAGCTACTAATGCACAATGACCGGCCCATTATCGGTAATCTCTGGCCAAACCAAGGATATTTTTATCTAAAAAATCCTGTCAAACTGTCAGCAATCCCGCAATGGCACACAATTTAGCACGCCCACCGTTGCTCTCATTTGGGGCGTGGCAGTTTAGGGATACCTGCAATACAGTTTGACAGTCATCACAAAGGCTTCTAAAGAAGATAGTCTAGAAAAGGTATAGCAAGTATAGCACAGAAGAAAGACAGTCATAAATATATTACAAAAGTTTAGCTTGGGAGAGTAAAAGAAGCTAAGCGTATAAATAAAGTTCTATATACAGACGGAGGAGTTGTAGTCCTAAAAGAAGCCTTTGTCATCCTTGGATTGGATATTCGGGATTTTTCGGGGCACTGTGTGCGAAAGTTTGCCAGGGAAATCGGGAGTTCTGGTTAATCGCGTACATACATATATATACAAAACAAATATAACATATATCGTGTGGAAAAACTTGTCACCCCAATTCCGATTGTTATCCTTTATGGGTTCCTAATCCGCGATCAAGTCATTCCGATTCCGAATTCCAAGTCGTTGTGAATTTATGTTTTCTTATCGTTTTCTGTTCGGTTTTTTTCCTTCGTCCTTGTGCCATGCCAGGATCAGCCGGGTGCCGGGACACGCCCCCTAAGGCGGCCCGTGTCTACTAAACTCTTAGCTACGCTTACTTACAAGACAATTTTCATTTTCATGTTCGTTGTTTGTTTGTTTGATTTTTTTTTTTTGTGGGTTTTTTGTTTGTTTTTCTGTTTGTTGTTCCTATGATTGGTTGTTTGTTTTGTGGATGGATGAGAGAGCGAGAGGGAGAGCACCTTGGCGACTAAGTCGGGCTCCCGCTTCCTAGTAATGGTGCAGCAGGGGGGCGTGGGCGAGCACGGGGGCGGCATGCAGCACGGGCGCATGGGCGATGATCTTGGTGGGGGCGGTCTTGTGGACCACGGCGTTGAAGCCATTGTGGTCGTCGGCGGTGTAGTCAACGGTACGCACCGAACCATCGGGCTCAACCAGGGAGTACTGGCCTGTGAAAGGGAGGGATAAGATGGGGATAAAGTAGTATAGAGGTCAATAAATAATACTTATAGATCTAGTTTATAAGGACGAACAAATAGTGGAGTTCCTAAATATATAACAAAGTTCTTTAAAAACGTATAGACAAAATGGGTTCAAAAATGTGATAGTATTTTATGTTTATGTTTCTTTAAAATATGAGCTTTATCTTGATCTAATACATTTGATCATGAATAAAAAACCCCATTATATGGTTTACTCTTTAAATGTCTTAATTATAATTTTAGCAAAACGGGTCAGTCATTATTTCGCAAAATTAAATACAACCTTGTTTTTAGGCAGCCATTAAAAAATTTAACAGAAGACAAATTTCAAGTTTTTTAGTATATATATAGTATATATCAATGTCGTTGCTGAAGTGTTTTTAAATAAACAAACAAATATATATACAAAATAATAAAAATATTTTGTTTTTAAATTAAAGTTTGTTGCCTAAGTCATTTGCTATAAGCACATAGTGTGCTAACTATTAAATAAAAAATCTAGTTCAAAAATCAGTTTAGACAAAATTTGCAATTTAAAATTTAGGCAAGTTCGTTGCCTAAGTCTTTTGTTTTCAAAACGATTTTCAAGTTCGTTTCTTAAGTCTTTTGTTTTAATTTGCTTTATGCACTTCTATTAGTTTGTTGCCTAAGTCTTTTCTTTCTAAGAGATTTTCTAATATTTCTCAAATATTTTAAATAGTTTACTTTAACCCCTTTTTCAGATCCTCCGTGGACAAACTACACCCATGGAACACTCACCCTTCACCACATCACCGTCGCGCTCCTCGGCCTGCGACTTGATGTCGCCGGTGTGGGGATCCTTGATGCCGTAGTTGAAGGAGTACTTGGGATAGGCCACCGGCTCGGCGTGGACGGCATGGACGGCGTGCGACAGGATGGGCGCATGGTGCACCAGCGCAGGGGCGTAGTGGCCCAGCTCGATGGGGACGGCCTGAGCGGCGGCGAACAGCAGAGCGATGGCAACAAAGTACTAGAGAGGGGAGAAGTGAGCATCAGGATCGGGGATTCACTTTGATCATTTTGGGGTTTGGGCACACACCTTCATTTTTACAATCGTTTAACGGCACAAACGGCAAACAGGCACAACACGGCGCGAGCACGTAGCTAAAAAACAAGGACGAAGGACGACTGGTCGCTGGTTCCTGTGCAAAAGGAGGCTGTGAGGATAGCTCGAGTGAGTGAGGACCGTTAAGAGCACGAAATCGTTAGCTGAACTGATGTCTGCAACGATGACCAAAAGTATTTATATACGCGTCGGTCGCCGACGAATGCAACCCGACCAACGACGAGTGGAACGAACGAGCTCATGCAGCTGTGCCACCGGTGGGCTGGGGTGGGTGGGTGAGCAGGGGCAGCCAGATGGTGCCAGTGGTGCCATACCACGCATGTGCCACAACAATGATCCCCCTGCCCACCCCTTGAAAAGTTAGGTGCGGCATTTGTTTCTTGGCCCCGCGAAGGCGTTCGGTGACTTAGTTTCGCTGACTGTTTGTCTGCCTCTCGCTGTCGTTTGCAATCGAAAGCGACACTTTTGCACTCTTGCATTGGCTCTAATGATCTAAGCTCTTTATTTATTGATTTGCCGACATAATTACGATCGTTTCGGGTCCGCACAACTTGGCCGAAAAACATTATTACCATATCTGTGGCAATCAAACGGGGCGTCGTTATAATTACCACGCCACCACCACCACCAACACCAAAAACCAACTTGCGTAGCTTTCATGCCACGCAATTTGTTGCCTGACATTTTTGCGACCATTTTCAGTTTGTTATTTCCACGATCTGCAGAACTGTGAGCGGAATTTCGATGTTGGCAAATAGTTTGACTTGGCTAAGCAAATCAAACGCGGCTCAATCAATATTTTTCGGTGGCTTGAGACAAATGTTTGTCGCCAAGATTGCGAGAAATGATAAATATTGGATGGAATTTTGGATAAGAGATTGTTTGGGGGAATGCTTATAAAAATTTAAAAAGAAAATGCACGGCATTTATTTTTTATGATCTTGATATTGGATGGAATTTTTGGAATGCTTATAAATATTTCAAAAGAAAATGCACTCCATTTATTATTTTTTTGTGATCTTAACTGCCACTTTTTAAACTGAAATTTGTGGCAAAGATTTTGGGGAATGATAAATGCATGGAATCTTACTAAAAGATATTCGGGGAATGTGGATAAATATGATACAGAAAACAAGGAAATATTAAATACAAATACCAAATATTTTGTTGAAATATCTATCCATGCAGTTAGTAGGCAATTAAGAAAACTATCTTTAAGTTGAAATATTACTATTTATAGCCAATCCCAATTACTTTTATTTGTAATACTAAATTAACTAAAGAGCATGACTTAAGCGCCTCCTCCTTTAACGCTTACTCAACTCCTAAAATACAGATTTCTTGACACTTTTTCAGGCAACACCCACAACAAACAGCCAACCGCTCTGGCATGACATATCAGAAAATTATGATTGTATCTTATAAAACACACACAAGTGGCCATTAAATGCAGACAAACAGCCGAGGGATGGGGCGAAAAAGGGGGGGACCCTGCCTGCCATCTAAGCAAACGATGGGAAAAAAACCCAATGTTCGTTTAGAAAAGCCGAAACAAACCAACAGATACTCAGATCGCACTATAAGAGATCACTTTGGAATGGGCCTGGCCATTAGCATGGAAAGCGAAGACAAAGACACAGAATCGACTTACATAAAACGGCTTTAAAGGCGACACATTTACACGGCTGGCCGAAAATCGCTCGAAACAATTGCTAACAAAAAAATACAAGAAAAAAAGAGTTCGGGCCAAACAAGTTGGCCACGTCACGATCGCACTTTGACAGAGCCAGGAGTTTGCAGGGGTTCGGTTTAGATGTTAGATGGCTAGATGGTTAGTTGGTTAGTTGGTCACTGGACAAGACAGTTGGAAAATCGCAACGACTGCGACAAGCTTTGTCTCTGCCTGGATCGATGGTTGCGCAATGGTGCCGCCATTGAGACATTGCTTGATCGATCGAATTGTTTTGCATGCGTTAATTGCACTTGTCCACGCATATCTCGCTTATATCTCCCTCTAATCCCCTGCCAAAAACCATATCTCTGCGCGCCTAACCTAAGATTTATTATATCTGCGGCTCCGTCT